AACAAGGAAAGAAAACAAAACAAAACAAATCAAAAAACTACAACACCATAACCAACTTCCTAGAGCCTGCAACTCTTTAAAGAACATTACTAATGCAACTGTCATTTTTTGTTAAAGAAATATGACTTATTAAAAGAATGCCTTTTACCAAGATCTTTGAGTATCTTGGGCTGTGACAATTAGATTTAACCAGCTTTGATAAATAATAAAAGAGCCTGGCAAACACTCAGTTTTTCTAGTCCTCCACCTACATCGTTCTACAGTTCCTATCAATACATTATTTATATTTCAGGAGCATTCTCCATGAGGTGATCGCCTTCTACAACAGTAGGAAAGAAGTCTATTGCAAAGATCATTTATTTCAAGAGAGCAGGGAAGTATAAAGTTATTTTAAAAATTCAGTTTCCTAGTCATAATAAAAATGCATGTTACAAGTAATAGGACAGAGAAGCTGCTATTTTAAGTGAAAATCTCTTTGAATTATTGAGTTAGAGAAAAACACTATCTATGGCAATACCTTTCACTATTGTCTTTGATAAAATAATAAAAGTTCAATAAAATGAAGCCTTAAAAATACAATTTCTCTTGATGGCTTCTGTATCTTCCTTGCTTTTCCCATTTATTTGTTTCTCTTTCTTTTCACTATATTGTTAATATGCCCTCCACTTAACACTGTATTTCTCATTCTGTCACTATGTCCTTTCTAAAACACTGTCTCTTTAACACCACTTATGCTGCAGGACTGACCTCAGGAATTTTCAGAGATGTCTGACTATTTGGTTAGGGGCAGGGAGGAGAGGGGGATATATCACATATCTCCACTCACTGTCCTGGATTGATCATCCCCATCATTCAGCCCTACAGAGCAGGGTTTCCCCCTAACATAACCCCACAAAACAGAGCAGGAGCTTCAGAAAGTTCTTGTGCTGCTGGAAACTAGATTTTCTTAATAGTTGCAATACAACAGGGCATGTTGTGTTATCTTGAAAGTCATCAGAGGCTTTATAGGCTGATACGCCCAACTGACAGTACCCCCAGTGTGACAAAATGATTTTGTTTAAATTCAAGTTTATCAAGCAAGACTTGGTAATTTTAAAAGACTAGGAAGACACACAACTCCAACCAAATCTGTTATTGAAAGCATTCAGCAGTGAAGTAAGATGATAAAAAGAAAATATTATGGAATTTTTTTCAGAGTCTTCCTATTCTATCTACTGTTGTTGATGCTATGCCATTGTCTATTTCTCCTTTTAGTGGAGAAAAGGAGATGACATCATGTAAAGATGTCAATCTACCTTTTTTGGAATAAAGACAAGGAAGAACGTCTTATCTTTCTGTTTAGTGCTCAATGCAACATGCAGAGGAAGACAAAACCACAGCAACTGTATTACAGAAAAACTGTTAACTTGAGAACATAATTTTGGAAACAAGGTATGGCAAAGTAATACTCTCCAGAGAATTATATTCACTGTAAGTTACAGAAATAAATATTATATTTTCAAATTCAGAGACAGAGTAATAATCTATCAGCTATTCTTGCATGAAACAAGATTTAATTTTTCTGTATCCTGGCTTCATCCTGAGTTTTTAAGCAATGCATGCTGATGTTGGCAAAGGTTCATATTAGTTTAATTAGTTACACCTAAGATAGTCACATGCGTAAGTGTTTGCTGAACCAGTCCTCCAGCAGTTTCATTTGGCATCTTTTCTTCTCCCCTGTTTTGTTGATTGCAGTTGATACTTGCAATGAAGAATTAAAATATTTTTCTTCTACACGTGCACTGTACCTTCATACTCTTTTAAGGAAATGTCCACGTGTGGGGAAGCAGAACATTGAGGGCTTTCTAGGTAGCAGAGAAACTTTCCAATTTTTGCTCATTCAACATTTAATCTCTTATTAATCATTTTCAGTATCAGCCAGTTCCATACTTGTTCCTATTCAAAACAGACTGCAGCCAGGTAATTATTGCTTCTTCAAATATGTGGGGGTTGTGTTTTTTCTGTTAACAAAGTTTGGGTGAAAGTTTAAGGCATCCGTTTATCAAACACCCTGTCCCTCCAAATCAACAGGAGAAAGAAAAACAAAAACAAACAAACACACACCCCAAACACCAACAAAATAAGAAAAACAATGAAAAATAAATAAACAAACAAAAACATAACAGGCAATAAAAACATTCCCTTCTTCTCTATCTGAAATAGAAGGCAAGTAGACTGAAGAACATATATTCCACCTGATGGCAATTAGATATGCTGAAGACTGCAATACAACTTAATTAACATTACAGATATGAGATAATGTGTAAGAGGGACAAATCTAGGAGCTGAAATGTCAACTCTCTGGTAGTTCAATATTTGATTTGTTCATTTTTATTCTGAGCTAAGAGCTGACCCTCTTTCTAGCATGTCCCTCGCTGAGTAATTCTAGGAAAAGTACTTTGTGTTTTGTATTCAGATCAAGACTTTTTTATTTTGACTAGTCTTTTCAACTGGTTTACCTTTAGTCACAACCAACAGAGAGGTGCAATAAGGAGGCAGTATTCAGAGATAGAGACTGGAAGCACCACCCATGTGCACAATCCAGGAGTTATTCTCGTATGCCAAGCTCCATTTACCCCATTTGAACCAACGGAGTTAAAACTTTAAGTCCTCTTTTCTGCTATTAACTCTCAAATGGAAGTATAACAGGGATTAAACCACTTCAGGACTCTCATTCTCTGGCACACAGCTGTGCTTGCTCTCTGCAGAAAGTCCCAGCCATGTCCCAGTTTTATTCCAGGTCACATAACAACCCATGCACCAACAGTTAAGTGAATAATACTGTATTTCCCTATTTTTACCAACCAGTGATTCCACACAACACAGCAGTAGCTGCATGCTTGTCTGCAGAAACTCAAAAGATGATGCTGACTCCCTAGAGTCGCCCCCCAGTGAACAAGAAAATAAACTCAACTCCAAGAATAAATGTACTGATGGTTCATAAGAAGCCTTGACAACAGATATAGCTAGCAACAGGGAGGGGAAGAAAAAACCAACTAATTCTCATGCTGCAGAGGAATACCCCAAAATATCAATTGTATGCAGAGATTTTTAATTAGAAGATCACCAAATCAGTGCTTAACTGAGTGTGTGCTCTACCACATGCAAACAGAAAGGACTGACACAAAGACTTTTCTGAGGAGATGATCTTAGAAGACACTTCTTCAAAAGTACAACTCAAAACAGCGGAGAAAACAAAGCTCACAACTTTATTAGCCTAAATTAATCTGATTAATTCTAATACAGCCAATAAAGGTTCTTTATCTAGGGATATACATCTACTTAAGTCTGATTTAGTATAAGGTGATTGTTTGAAAACATGAAGAAGACACTGGGTGACAGCACAAACCAAAGCAAAAGGAAGAATTGTACAGTGACATTTGCAGCTCTGTTTGTGATTTTAAGAGCCAGAAATTAAAAAAAAAAAAACTTGGTCTCTAAAATCCTACTGAATTTCAACAGCACTGAGATATCTTACTCTCTTAAACACCACAGATTTTAACTTTCAAGTGCTTTTTCCTAGCAATAAATAGGACTAGTCAGTCACTCTACCACTGAATACCTATCCAAATGACACATCTTTGGAAGTATTGTCATTCCTCAAGAAAATAATGCATTCACTCTCTTTCTTCACTTTACCCAAGGTAAGAGTCCAATAGAGGTGAGAAGTTGGGTGTAAGTAGTGACAAATCAACTGAAAAGCAAGAGATATGACAGACTTGTTTCCTATATTCCTGATTCATAAAGATGCCAGCAGTGGAGCTACAATAACTCACATAAGTCAGGATTTTCCACTTTACTGTTGAGTATTCAGAAACTTGGCTCTCCTCCCTCCAGCCAATTGATGGGGTTTCATTGGTTTTTTTGGATTTGGTTTTTTTGGGGGGGTTGGTTTTTTTTTAACTTTTTTTTTTAATTGCATACATAGTTTACATAGCAAAATGTAACCTTTCTTTATTTCTAACTCAAGTTTTTCTGGTCTTCTGTCTCTCTGGAGAGAAGCCTAACAATGTCAGGCTTTGGAGCCTGAAATAACAAAATAAGAGTCAAAATTTAATAAAAAAAATTTTTATGAAAGTCCCACTTGGGAGGACAGGGGGTTTGAGAGGGGTGAGGACACTCAAAGGGATTTATGCACAAAGACTTTTTAACATCCATCTTGTATTTAATGTTAGAAGTTTGTTACCACCCTAGACTAGCAGCTTACCTGTACATCAGTAGTAATACAGAATGGGAGACAGGATTTCCAAGCTCATCATCCTTATCTTGCCAGACCACTATATCCTAGCTATCTTTGAAAAGGAAGGGCCAGTAAATAAGACACAGCTAAGCCTGTGGCTTACATAAAACACTCCAAGTGAATCCATCTGCCAATATACATACTGGAAATCTAATCAATAGTAGGTTTTGTATGTTTGCATAGCTGTTATAGACAGATGCTCTTATCACTGTTATTTTATCCATACTTTTTAATAAAGTGGATGACTCAAATCATTGCCTTCTTCCTCCTCTTCCAATCTGGTTCTCTGATTTTCATTTATTTGCATTTCTCTTCACCTTTAATTTCCTTCTTTATTTAACAGCTTTCTCCACCACTTCCACTAGCCTTTCCAACCTCTCCTTTTGCCATGTGATTTCTTCTTTTCCTTCGTGCAACATACGTGGGTAGAGCCCTTCCCAAATTTTCGTTCGCGAAGCCTAGCCATGAATTGAATGAATGAATTTCTTCTTTTCCATCTTTGTGGTTTCCTTATACTTCACTCTCTGACTTTTTTCTCTTTCCCTTTCCCTGCTGTTCATAAGAATCAGATTCATAGAATAGCTCACGTTGGAAGGGACCCATAATGATCAAGTCCAACTCCCTGCTCCTTGCAGGACTACCTAATACTAAACCATATTATTTATAGTGTTGTCCAAACACTCCCTGAACTCCAACAGGCTTGGTGCTGTGACCATTTCCCTAAAATATGGAATACTTCATGAATTTGCATGTCATTCTTGCACAGGGGTTGTGCTAAATAGTTCTGCATCTTTCCAATTGTAGCATACGTGCTGCTGAAGTGAGCACAACTGGATGTCTGTTGGATGTCTCCTGTCCCTTTCCAATAGCCCCAAGTTAGCAGATCAGTTCAGATGCCAGCAGCATTCTCACGAGGGGGAGCGGAAAGGCAGGTACCGATCTCTTCACTCTTGTGACCAGTGACGGGACTCGAAGGAATGGTCTGAAGCTGAGTCGGGGGAGGTTTAAGTTGGATATCAGGAAAAGGTTTTTCACCCAAAGGGTAGATGAGCACTGAAACAGGTTCCCCAGGGAGGGACAAAATCACAGCCCCAAGTCTGTTTAAGGACAATGCTCTCAGGCACATGGTGTGATTCTTGGGGTGTCCTGCACAGGGTTAGGAGTTGGACTCAATGACCCTGATGGGTCCCTTCCAACTCAGCATATTCTATGATTCTATGATTGTAGGCTCCCAGTTAATGCTCTGAACACCAAGTCACTCATAGGTGAAACACAGTAGCGTAAAATTTCTTTTTGTGGAAAATTACATTTCCTCTAATTAAGGAAGAGCCTAAGGATTTGTACCGTGACTGCTGTACCACTGTACACTACCTCAATGCTGAACACATCAACTTCCTATGAGCAATCCTTCTTCCTATAAATGACATACAAGTGTCTCATCTTGAGAATTAACGCACCCTAGCCCTGGCCCCAGCAGGGTTACAGTGCAGCAGCTCCCCCAAAGGCTTCAGAGGGGGTGGATTAATGGATGGTTACTGTCCACTTCAAAGTACAGAAGGCTGGTCTCACCTTCAATAGGGTATTAATTACATTATTCTTGGACCCAAAAATGTGGGACAGAAAGATGATGTGGAACATTACCAGCCTTTTTGAGAGCCCATTTCATTGGTTAACTGTACTCACAGCTGTGAAGCTCTTTTCAATATTCAGCTTAATTATGTCTCTGCTGACGCTTAAAGACCATTACTTCTTATAATGCTTATCATGGTCAGCTATCTAAATGTGTTTATTTTGCAGAACATGAATAAGTGATGCATCTAATCACAATGCAAGTGTTATGCAGCTTCACAACATTTTTGTTGTCTGGTATAATGAGCAAGCTCAGAATAGGCCCTTGTCTGTTGGCACTGTCACTCTGTCAGAGAATTTCCATTCATTTAGTAGCTCCAGGTTGGCAGCTAAAGCAATCGTTAGTGGCCAAAAAGCATCCATCCACCAAAGCCACAGACCTTCATTCAGGCATAGACAGTTCAAAGTACACTCAAGCTCTCCTGCTAAAAAATTCAGGGTTTCAAGACAAAGATCTGTAGAGAAACTGAACACCTGAAAAGTAAAATCAGAAAAAATGGGAACTCCTGCAGTTGGCCTGTCATTAGCAACAGGTCGATAAGAAATGGGCTGATGGCAGACCAGCACACGGTTACCTCTCCCCACAGCATGCAAAACCATCCCTCCTACTAAGAAAATAGTTTCGCACTCATATTTGCAACTGCCAAAACCAAGCATGAACTCCTTTTCTTTTCTGATACTAAAATGCTATTAATTAAAAGTAGTAAAAATATCTTCTCTCCAGAGAGGAAGAGAAGAGCACTTTCTCAAGTGGAGTATTTTCTGAAATACTCCATGGTTCATACTACCCCAACACCGGGCAACCAGGTTTGCTCCCTTCTGAGCACAGAATCTTGAGAAATATTTCCCCCACACCTCCCTGAAAAGACAACCTGCTCTCTGGCTGTTTGAGCTGAGAGAAGCTTTCTCCTGTTAGGATGAAACCCCGCAATGGTCAATCTCTAATTTTCTACTTATCATTCAATAACATAAGAAAAGCGTATATATGGTCTCTGCAAGAAGCTGAAGGAAAATCAACTTCTTTTCTTCCCTCCTGGTGAGTCACAGTACTGGTAGAGATGTAAAAAAATAAGTATTTCTTTTATTTAATCTACATTTTCTCCACGTTTTCCTCAAGGCTATGGATCCTTTGGAAGTCCCTGAGCAATATCAGTTCTTCTCCTGCCCTCACTGCTACAGTGTTGTACAGTAACAGAGAATTTGCCCAGTCTTCATTAAAATAGGTGAAACTGCCAACTGACAGAAAATCAACAGCCTTTGGTACCTATAGTGAACTCAGGCAAAACAAAATGGGAGCTTAAAGTGCTACTGAAATGTATGGAGTGTGGGGAATATATCAAAAAGTAGGGAACAGGAGATAAATACAAACATTTACGTTATTATGAAGGCTATGTAATTAAAAATGCAGTTAAGCAGGAAGTCCATTAAGAAGAGAATAATTCAGAAGAACACACATTTGAGTACAAAATGCAATTAATTCAGACAGGAAATAGAAATTAAAAGTAATTATTTTGTTTTGCAAAGGTAGAATAAATGCAGCTGAACACACTGTTCAGTGCCTTGTGCCTTGGGGTTTTTTTTGGTTGTGGGTTTTTTGGTTTTTTTGTTTGTTTGTTTGTTTGTTTTTTTTCTTTAATTTTCAATAGTAGATCTTCACACCTCCTATGTCCTCTCAAATCAATCAAAAATAGTAATTTAAAAAGTTCCACTTCAGCATCCCAATATGCCTGTGGGTAACACCACATATAACGTCATGGAAATAGTTAGCAGGAAAAAAAGCCTGCTATCAAATAATTGACCACTGCTCAAAGCACGTACACTCAGGACCTAGGCCCTGCTTCCTAAAGGACAGAGACTTTCAGTAAAAGCCATTCTGTCATAAACATAATCCACCAATTGATTTTAAAGACTGGTTAAAAGCTATTGCCTGCAACAGACCAGGTAAGACAAATGATCTGTATTCAGGGACTAAGAAAACTGCATTTCTACTTGAAATCTTTTGACCTCGGTTGCACAAGTGTTCCCAGCAGAGCTCCAGCAATGAATACGGAAGCACTATTTCTCCTCCCTCTGTCAAAGTCTGCATATGAGCTCCTGCACATGCCTCCCTCTCTCACACTTAGTAAGGGAAAAAGACCTGCCCAGACCTCAGTAACAACCTCCAAAATGTCTACTAAGAGGGCATGAGAAAAAAGACATAACAACATCATATCTTTCAACAAAAGTAGATTTGGTAGTCTTTGAGAAGCAGATGAGGTAGTAGTGAATAGTAGTGCTATTTTAAATAGTGTGCAGAAGTCAGAAGATGACAAAGAGAAAAATATGCTAAAAAAAAATCTCAAAATGTCAAGTGTCTTGCTGCAAACTGGATTATATAGGGCATGGGGTGAACCAGCAGCAGCAGCAGCATAGGGGCTTAAAACGCAGCAGCTGCTCTGAACAGGAGCAGCGATGATGTTCAGCAACTCCATATACACCTCAGAATTACCTCTTCAGATCCAGCAACACTTCCTGCATAAGTCTCGTCCCAACATGGTCCCAGTTCCAGGGACTCTGCATTTCATTTTCACTGCAGCATAGTACACCAGAACATGCCACAGTGTTTGTTTTGTTTTTAAATCTGGTCAAAAGATACCATACATGCAGAGCATCTTCTAAAGAGAGCTGCTTCAGGATCAACAGTACAGTAATAAACAGCTGCATCTGCAAGATTTATAAATCTTGGAAATAATTTTATTACATATTACTTTACACTAGATGCCCATTGTAAGCCAATTTTCTTCTAGTAATGCTTTTGAAGACAGTTTACTTGTCTTTCAGAAGTCCTATTAATCTTTTAAAAGAGAAAAATAAGCTGAATCTGTCCATATATAGTAAAAAATATTTCTGCAGTTCTCTATATTTTTAATTCACTTTGAGGTCTTCGCCACTGTGAATTCACTTTCATGATCATTTACACAATTAGGTTTACAGCAGTACACACAGGCTAAACTTCCACAGAAACTGAATTTAAAAATTAATTACCAATATACATTTTCCACCAAAACCTAAAATATAAAATGGTTCACAGTTGGATCAAGGAAGTTAACAGATAATATACTTATCTAGTCCAGAACGGAGCAAAGGAGTTAGCATCCTGGGTAGCAAAGTTGAAGCACTAAAGCCCAAAAATCAGAGTAACTCTGAAGAACAGAACATTTGGAGAGTGCTGGTGCTCTGCCAGTCACATCATGAACAGAGGAAGGTAAAATTCATTAAATAAATTATTCATTAGTATTTAACAACTCGGCACTGGATACAATATTTATTCTTTTGGCTAAAGAACAGTGCTATGAATCCATCCACTTGTAACTTCACTGCTGAAAAAGTTAATGCCATTTATTGACAGGTTAATTTATAATATCACCTTAATTAAAAAAAAAGATTATCTTATCACTCTCCGCCTGAAATCAAACTGCACCTGATTGGGAATACTGTACCCACAGGCTAATGAATGATTTCAAGCAATTCAGTGTCCAATTAACACCAGCATCTGGTTTGGAGATTTTTTTTATCCCTATCAAAGCATTTGCCCTACATTAATTACACTTTCAGTTAGTCGCAACAGAAAGTTTGACTCTTTATGTTACTCTTCAAGCAAAAATACAGACAATAAAATGGTCAGGACCTGGAATTCACATAACCAGAAGCAAAATTCCAATCACTTGCAGGCGTGCAAAACAAGGCATGAAACTTCTCCCAGCTTGATTTCAACAGTTACCTCAACAGAACACTAACTGAAGAAATGGATAAGAATCCCCTCTGTCCAAGACACTGGAAGAGTGACCCATCTGCTTCCACCCAAAGAATTCTGTCTGAAGCCAGCTTCATGATGAACCAAACTTTGCTTGGACAAGAAGGTAGTTTCTTGAGGCTTTTAAACTGATCTTTGCCATTAAAAAAAGCCACTGAATAATTTTCAAGATTTAGTGCAGCTGGAAGATCTGCGACGGGGGAACCTGATGTGTGTGGAGGAAGTATCCTTTGACTCATTATGATCTCAGAGCATGTGAGATTGATTGGACCACCATTCACCTCCTGCCCTCTTATTAACACTGGATTTAGATAAGTCAAGCGTGATTTATGAAATACAATAAATTTTTTCCCATAAAATGTTTATCACTAACTCTACTAACTCTCCAGTACCATAACTGTACAAC